TTAGTTAGGTTGGTAGACAGCAAACCTCCAGGAGGTACTACCGTCCTGCCAAGTGAGTGTAAACAACGAAAGCCTGTAATGTTTTCATGATGGTTGCTAATTGCTGGTTGTCTTTTCGTATATAAAATATGCAAGATTACAGGCATGTCTTGCTACTTCTACTTACACCTTAGGTACACCTACACATACATGTACACGTTTTTTAACACACTCATCCTGAGTTTTCTTTGATTTTATTTCTTAATAGTTCTTGGTCTTATTACTTTTCCTTTTTATCCATGGGGAAGTGGAATAAGAATCTTTCCTCCGTAAGCATGCGTGTTGTAAAAGTAACTAAATTGCCGGGAACAATGGGTAGTATAACCCCTTTTCCTGTAAAGATTACTAAAAAGAATAGAAGAAGAAACATTGTCAAGTTGGAAAAGTCTGATGTGCGTGGATGTAGTTGCAATGGATAGAAAGAGATGATTGTGATGTTATGGAATGAAAAGAAAACTGGTTGTCCTGGCTTTAAGTGAAACAAAGCTGAAGGGGGTGGGAGTAGTTTCAATGGTGAGGAATAAATGGGATTAGGTCAGGGGTTTCAAATAGGTTAGAGCTAAAGAAGGAGTAGCAATAATGTTGAAGGATAAGCTATGGCAGGAAAAAAAAGAGGGACTTAAAATGTATAAAATTCAAGGATTTTGTGGAGTAAAATTAAGTTGTTGTGGAAAAGTGGGTTATAGTAAGGTGTGTATGCACCTGGAGAAGTGAGAGTGTAGAGGAGAGAGAGAGGGATTTGGGAAATGTTGAGTGATGTGTGGGGAGTTTTGACTTAAGTGGAGAGTAATGATGGTTGGGGATCTTCAATGTTAAAGTGGGTAAACAATTTTATGGAGGGAGTAAAGTAGTAGGTAAATTTGGGGTGCCAAGGGTAAATGTAAAATGGGGGCCTTTAATTGAGCTATGTGTAGAAAGAAATTTGTGTAATAAGTAATACATATTTATGAAAAAGAGGATAAATAAATTATACAAGGTATGATTGTAGCAAGTAATTTTGAAAGTGTTTGTTGATTATGTATTGGTGGATAAGGTTGATGGATAGGCTCCAGTGATGTACATGTTTAAGTGGGGCAACTGATATATTCGGATCATTATTTAGTATGTAGCTAAGTTAGAGTAAGAGGTAGATGGGGAAAAGAGGAAGGTGGCAACAACAACTAAGAGGGAGGTGAAAGTGTATAAACTAAGGGAGGGGGAAAGTTTGGGTGAGATATAAGCGACTATTGGCAGAAAGGTGGGCTATTGCAAAGATGAGTAGTGGGGGGGGGTTGAAGAGGGTTGGAATAGTTTTAAAAATCCCAGTTTTAAAAATGTGGGGTAGAAGTTTGTGGTTATAGGAGGGTGGGTGCAGGAGGAAATAGGAGTGACTGGTGGAATGATGAAGTAAAGGGGTGTGTTTAAAAGAGAAAAAGGTAGCTTATGGAGGTTTTTAACAAAGCAGAAGTATTATAAGAAGAGCAGGAGTATATGGAGAGTAAAGAAAGGGGGAAGAGAGTGGTGAAAGAGTGCAAAAGGGGAGCAGATGATAGAGTGGGAGAGGCACTGTCAAGAAATTTTAATGAAAATAAAAAAAAAATTTTGGAGTGAGTTAAACAAGTTAAGAAAGCCTAGGGAAAGTATGGATTTGTCATTTAAAAACAGAGTAGGGGAATTAGTAGATGGGGAAAAGGGAGGTATTAGGTAGATGGCGAGAATACTTTGAGGAACTTTTAAATGTTGAGGAAGAAAGGGAGGCTTTAAATTTCATGCACTGGCCAGGAGGTTATACCATCTTTTAGGAGTGAAGAAGAGCAGAATTTTAAGTGTGGTGGAGGTATGTGAGGCATTACGTAGTGAAAGGGGGTAAAGCAGCGGGAAAATTTGATGGGATCATGAAGAAATTTTAAAAAGCAGGGGGGGATATAGTGTTGGAGTGGTTGGTTACTTTTGTTTAATAAATGTATGAAAGAGGGGAAGGTACCTAGGATTGGCGGGAGAGCCATGTATGTCCCTTTTATAAAGGAAAAGGGGACAAAAGAGATTGTAAAAATTATAGAGGAATAAGTTTACTGAGTATACAGGAAAAGTATACGGTAGGGTTATAATTGAAAGAATTAGAGGCAAGACAGAATGTAGGATTGCGGATGAGCAGGGAGGCTTCAGAGTGAGTAGGGGATGTGTAGATCAAGTGTTTACATTTAAGCATATATGTGAAAGTATTTAGATAAAGGTAGGGAAGTTTTTATTGCATTTATGGATTTAGAAAAGGCATATGATAGAGTGGATAGAGGAGCAATGTGGCAGATGTTGCAAATATATGGAATAAGTGGTAAGTTACTAAATGCTGTTAAGAGTTTTTATGAGGTAGTGAGCTCAGGTTAGGGTGTGTAGAACAGAGGGAGAATACTTCCGGTAAAAGTAGGTCTTAGACAGGGATGTGTAATGTCACAATGGTTGTTTAAATTATTTATAGATGGGGTTGTAAAAGAAGTAAATGCTGGGTGGGCGAGAGAGGGGTGGGGTTAATTATGGGGAACAATTCAAAGGTGGGGGGGGACACAGTTACTTTTTGCTGATGATATGTGTTATGGGAGATTTCTAAAGAAAAAAATTGCAATTGAGAATGTGGTAAAGTAGAAAGTTGAAAGTGAACATAGGGAAAAAGTTAAGGTGATGAGGGTATCAAATGATTTAGATAAAAAAAAATTGGATATTAAATTGGGGAGGAGGAGTATGGAGAAGTGAATGTTTTCAGATACTTGGGAAGTTGACGTTTTCGGCGGATGGATTATGAAGGATGAGGTTAATTTATAGAATTGATGAGGAAAAAAGGTGAGTGGTGCGTTGGGTATATGTGGAGTCAAAAAACGTTATCTATGGATGCAAAGAAGGGAATGTATGAAAGTATAGTAGTACCAACACTCTTATATGGATGTGAAACTTGGGTGGTAAATGCAGCAGTGAGGAGACGGTTGGAGGCAGTGGAGATGTCCTGTTCTAAGGGCAATGTTGTGGTGTAAATATTATGCAGAAAATTCGGAGTGTGGGAAATTAGGAGAAGGTTTGGTGGAGTTAATAAAAGCATTAGTCACAGGGCAGAAGATGGGTTTTTTGAGGTGGTTTTTTGGGCATTTAGAGAGAATGGATCAAAGTAGAATGACATGGAAAGCATATAAATCTATAGGGGAAGGAAGGAGGGGTAGGGGTCGTCCCCGAAAGGGTTGGAAAAGAAAAGGGGTAAAGGAGGGTTTTGTGGGCAAGGGGCTTGGACTTCCAGCAAGCGTGCATGAGCGTGTTAGATAGGAGTAAATGGAGACGAATGATACTTGGGACCTACGATCTGTTGGAGTGTGAGCATGGTAAATTTAGTGAAGGGATTCAGGGGAAACCGGTTATTTTCATATAGTCGGACTTGAGTCCTGGAAATGGGAAGTACAATGCCTGCACTTTAAAGGAGGGGTTTGGGATATTGGCAGTTTGGAGGGATATGTTGTGTATCTTTATACGTATATGCTTCTAAACTGTTGTATTCTGAGCACCTCTGCAAAAACAGTGATAATGTGTGAGTGTGGTGAAAGTGTTGAATGATGATGAAAGTATTTTCTTTTTGGGGATTTTCTTTCTTTTTTGGGTCACCCTGCCTCGGTGGGAGACGACCGACTTGTTGAAAAAAAAAAAAAATATATATATATACACATACACACACAGTGGTCCCTCAATTATCATCCATAATCCGTTCCTAGAAGTGGGACTATTATCGAAATACACGATTTTCGAATCAATTTTCCCCATAAGAAATAATGTAAATACAATTAATCCATTCCTGACACCCAAAAGTGTTAAAACAAAAATTTTTTACATGAAATATAGATGTAGTACATAAACAATACAATGGGACATGATAAATGAAACATTAACAGCATAACACTTACCTTTATTGGCAATTCTTCTTAGTGTATGGGAGACTGGAGGAGGAGAGACATTGAATTACTGTTTGGAAGGATAATCCCATTCCATCAACACCTCAGGTACCAAGTGCTTTTCTGGGGTTACTTCTCTTCTCTTAATGCCACTAGGACCAGCTTGAGAGTCACTGGAGTCCTGTCTCACAAAAAAACTGTCCAGAGAGCTCTGTTTCTGGCATCTCTTTAAAACTTCCCTAAAATGGGCCAAGACTCTGTCACTGTACAAGTTGCCGATATGCAACATCCTTCTCAAGGTGATGTTTCTCCATAAATCTTTCCATCCTACCCCACATTTCAAAAATCTCCTTAATTTCTGAAGAAGGCACCTTCTTCCATTTCTCTTCCTCCTCCTCTGCAGCAAGATTCTGAGCTGTGATCTGTTGCTCTTCCTGCTGAAACTCTTGCTCCTTTCATATTGTTCAATGATGTTTTTCTTAAATTCAATCATATTTCTCACCTTCTTTACCAAAGGTTTGGCACTAGGAGCTTTATTTGGAGCCATGGTAGCTTATTTAGCACTTGCAAGCACTAAAATTAATGGAATATTATGAAATATTTCGTATGAACACGTGAGGGGACCGTCGCTCACTGGTAAACAATGGCACACTGGCTGGGAACGGCTCAGAGCCATGAGTACGCGTCCAGGACGAAAGACGATTAGCAAGTTAACAGACCATTTGCGAGCCAATGTTTAGACGAAATAACGGGACTATTTCCGAAATGGATGACTTTCAGGCCGGACGATTAATGAGGGACCACTGTATATATATATTTTTTTTTATTTATTTATTTTGTTTTTCAACACATTGGCCATCTCCCACCAAGGCAGGGTCACCCAAGAAATAAACACCTTCACTATCATTCACACATAATCACTGTCTTTGAGGAGGCACTCAGATACGACAGTTTAGATGTCACTCCAAACAGCCAATATCCCAAACCCCTCCTTTAAAGTGTAGGCACTGTACTTTCCCACCTCTAGTATACAAATGGTTTTCAAAATGAAAAAAAATAAAAAGATGTATTTTTTATTATGGATCTGACAGAAAAAGGATAATAAACTTTTGAACCTATAAAAACTGATGATACCAAAGGCATAATAAAACTCCAGGTTAGCCAAAATACCAGTTTACTGTAACCCCTGTGTTTATGTGTGGTGAGTACAAGACGTCCTAGCTGGTTATTTCCCGCACCCCAAAGAGGAAGGACCAAAGGGAGAATTGTTTAATGCACAATAACCAATAGGAGAGTCTGTATACAATATACAGAGTAGCCACTTGCTGCTTGCTGTGTAATCCATCTCATGAAGCACAGCACAGACTGGGATGATCATTACACAAATAAATAAATAGCTGGTTGGTGGCAGCAGGCAGCAAGCATCACAGCGGAGGCCGGAGAGTTTGTACAGTACAGCTGTGACCTGATGCCAGCAGAGAGGGGCTGGACTAGCTTTGTATCCCCACAGTACTACTTAAGGGAACTGAACCCTTCTGAGTGGGCTGGAGGAGGGCAAGACTAGCCCCAAACTCTCCCAAGCACACTAGACTCTAGATACTAAGCACTAGAGGTCCTCCAGCAACTGCCACCCCTTAACATCTACAACAGAAGCTGTGTCTTTCTGTACACTTTGTGTCTGCAGTCAAATGGACCTAAAGCCAACTGCATTAGCTTATGTCAAGACAAAAAAAAAAATATATATATATAAATATATATATATCTATATATATATATATATATAATGGCCAACAGAAAGGTGGCTCACAGGCCTGAACACACGTCGGTCATGAAGAAAAAAGACTGACTTGAGATGGCTTTAGGAACCTTTAGACCAAAGACTGTAAGAGGATGCGGTCACAGGCCAGTGGGTCCAGGGCAGGACTGCAGGAGACAAGACAGGGCAGGATGGCCTCGGCTCTAACCTATTTGTACTCTAGCACGGCTGGAATGGGCAAAGGACGCAAGACAGTGCTTCCATGAGAGTCTGAGGCCATGTTGAGAGTCTGGGACGCTCAGCATATCATACACCAGATTTCTTATCACCACTTGAGCATAACACAGATTTCCAGTTTAATTTTGTTTATGCATTTTTCAATGAGTCTTTAATTCATTTTAAATGCAGTCTCTCTCTAAAACTCAAGCACTGTTACAAAAAACCCAGCTTGAAGGCAGTTTTCTACAAATTTTGGCCCATACCAGTAACCAACTATGGAACACTCATTTTCTTTGTACCACTGTTCCATCCCTCCAGTTATTTGCTTCTTGCCAGGACACGAGCAAGCGTGGCCAATGGTGACCCTATCATTTGCAGGTTAGTATCAACTGGCACAATATATGATTTCATAATGTGTTTGCTGGGAAAAGCTGAACAAAAATAAATTAAACTATACAAAATTATAAGCTAGCTAAACTTATATAAAAAACTTATAAACATAGTGATGGAGATGTGATGTCAGTGATAATTTTGTTTATATTTTTTTGACAATGATAAACATGAGAATGATAGCTTTTCCTATAAGCAATAAAGATTTATAGTATACAACAATTCATGTAATATAATTAAATATTTTTTAAGTATACAATATCTTCAATTTACAAAGATAAGGACCATTGTCAAGGGTGTTTATACGATTCCTTAAAAAATAAACTGTATAGTATCATCAACCTTGGACATATCAAGTGACTCCCTATATCATAGTGGGAACTCACTAACACTCACCTACAAAGCCAACAGCCAATACTGCTGGACTCTGATTGTAAGGCATCATTATCAACATTTTATTCTACAAGGGGCTGTTTTAGGCTTCATATTAATATACTGCATCTGAGACTGGAGGTTTTGAGCACCCCACTCCTCGAAACAAAACACTTGTTAGACTCTGTATAACTCACAACACATCTATAATGGCATTTTAAAGAGTCCATAGTCCTCTGCACTAACAAGTAACACTAACAAACAAATCACGAAGGTAATGTACAGATGATTCATTCTCTCATAGAAAAGGATGTGATGGAGTAACAGAGCCTGAGGAGCGACAGCTCCCCTGCACTTATCATCTTAACCAGGCAGTCTGAAACAAACAATATATATTACCACTTCATTGTAAAGTACAAAGTATACACAAATAAATTCATATGAGCATACAAATTGAAGTGTATGACTTTAAACTCTCATTAAATAAGTTAACTAGTCTAGTTGTCACAAAGTGAAGATACAATTTCAATATATCATATCTCATCATTAACAATGAAATGATTAACAATTCCTGTATGTTTTATTTGGATGTGTCTAAATGGATGGATGTGCACAATACTCATTCTGTCAGGTTAACCCTTGAAGAAAAATTCTTGATCCAATGAATTAGTTATATACTCTCTCTCCTTGAATCAAGCCTGATTACCTCTCATTCCTCATGTAATCTTATGACATCAGAATTAAGCCTAATTTTATTTTTTTATGATAGAACATAATCCATGCAGAATAAAAGTCACAATACCATAGCTACCTCAAGTCACAGTCTTACAAATTAAGAATGAAATCTGGATGTTTCAATTCTCTCTGGATCAATACCCATTATCAGGTCACAAGCCATCAAAGCTCCATAACAAAAATGTCATCTAGTTTTCACCCCTAATTTGTGTGCTTGTTCTAAATATTCAGGCACTAGCCATGATAAAAATAAATTAGCATTTCTTTTAATTGTGATACTGTACACCAGAAGAGCTGCATTTTCAATTTTCTTTTCTCTAGATTACTTTTCATTATGAATATCACAAGTACTTGAGTAAAGGTAAAAATTTTTGAACAAGTAGTAGGGGTTGACCTTTTTCTTTTAATAAAACTTGCAAGATATACATCATCTAATTGTTAACTGCATCTGACTGCTAGTGCACTCAGCTCACACACTGGAGTCCAGGGGGTCGATCCCCAGTATGGGTGGAAACATTAGGACATATTTCCTTAAGACACCTGCTGTTCATGCTCACCTATTAGTAAAATAGGTACCCGAGTGTTAGTCGACTGGCGTGGGTCACATCCTGGTGATAAAATTTACTTAATTTGACCAAAATGTTCTACATAACCAGGGGCTTTCTATATAGTAGTAAGTCATTGATGTCAGCAAGGCCTATATACAATGTATGTGTACTTGCACAAATAAAGATTATTATCATTATTATTAATATTATTATTATTATTATAGAATACTGTACATACATAACAGTCCAAGGTCACACCCCCATTTCTTCCCTGCATTACATTTTTTTAATATCAGTATGGTACCGATCCTAAATATTCCATGAGTAAACTGAGAGCTTAGTAAACTAGTCAATAAGTTGAAAATATTTACAAGGATTATTACAAACAAACTCACCCTTAATACTGACAAAACCTACTACATGATATCTGGAAACAGTGCTACAAATATCCAGTTAAACATAATGATCAATGGTTCTCTCATTGAGGGTAAATTATTAAATCTACATTTGCAGTTTCCATTGCATAATTAGCAGCTTCCTTTTGTGTCTACTCTTATATACATTTAAACTACATTATTTGTACAGCTTATAGAAATAAACATTATTAGTATTATTAAATGACAGAACAATGTCATTTACTTATTTTCTTATACATTATCTATATAATTCTTTAAATTACAGCACACACATTTTTTAGCTGTTGATATCAACTATCTTATGGGGAAACCTCTTATATACAGATTTTAATTTAAACAACATTCATTGCAGTGCTGAAATGTATGATACAGAACTTCATTTCAAATATTAAATGCAATATGCATCAATTTTATATACAGTAGTACAATATACAATTTTGTAATACTATATATTCTATTTAAGAATGACTTAAAATCTTAATGACAAATTTTTTACTAAAGGTCATTTTTTTGTCGAATAATATGGAGTGTGATGAATGGTTTTGAAAACTGACAAGTTGAAGAATTGAGACACTTATGCAACACATGGGAATCTTTATTGAAGAAACGTTTCACCACACAGTGGCTTCATCAGTCCAATACAAAGTAGAATTGTGTAAGGAGAGGAGAAGTTTGAGGTAATCAGTCCCTCAACCTGGAATCGATGTGTTTAGAAGAGTGATGGACTGAACACATTGATTCCAGGTTGAGGGACTGATTATCTCAAACTTCTCCTCTCCTTACACAATTCTACTTTGTATTGGACTGATGAAGCCACTGTGTGGCGAAACGTTTCTTCAATAAAGATTCCCATGTGTTGCATAAGTGTCTCAATTCTTCAATGTGGAGTGTAAAATGTGTGAAGTCTGTTCAGGGTTAGTGAAGGAATAGATAGTATTAGAGTGATGAAGAAAGTTTATTTCAGTGAATCTGAGGGTTGGAGGATAGATAAGGGTAGAAATTATGGGACAATAGGGTGTTTGAATGTGTGAATGCCAGGTAGGATGTAATGGTAGCAGTAACAGGGCTGAGAAGAAGCAGGTGTTAGAAGGTAGTGGTAAGACTTTCATCTTTTACAACTCAGGTGGAATACTTTAAAACTAGTCTGCAAAACAGCCCAGATATTGTTATGCTTGAGTATGGTGGTACAGTACAGAGCTGGCCTTCAAGACAACTGTACTTAAAAAAAAAATACTAGAGGAAAAACTAAATGTAAGACCTAAAACATTGACAGGCATTGTTGTTAAACTAATGGAAAAAAAATCAATTAAGATTGTGAGAGCACAAAAAACTACTAACTAGTAAGTAAGTTTTTTAGGAACAAGTACACATAAGTACAATCATCATACATAGTGTAAATTACATAGGATAACACAAAAAAAGGCAGACAAAGTGACTTATTTGGGGGTCCTTGTAATATCTCATTATTTAAATGTTAAAAATCAAAACAACTAAGTAACTCAACTAACACAAAAATTATTTATGAAAATGAATGGGTAGACTGTATTAAACCTACAGAGTATCTTCATTTCAAGAAAGATTTTGCATGACTTACTCATGAGAGACTGGTCTGGAAACCAAAAAACATGGGGGAAATCAATGGCAAATTATATTACAGTGGGTAAGAGATTTCCTGTGTGAAAGGAAAGTTTGATCAGTGAAACAATGTAAAGATCCTTATGGGGTATTGTCATCAGAGGGGTGCCACAAGGATCAGTGTTTGCTTTGATGTTTCTAATTTACAGTACGTAAAAAAAAAAAAACAGATACGCACACACAAACACTACACAAATAACCCGTAAATAGGAGAATGAAACTTATGATGAAGTTTTGGTTCAACTAGTACCATTAACTAGTAAGTGTCAGACCAAAAGGTCATCATAAGTTTCTTTCTCCTATGTGCAGGTTATCTGTGTATTGTTCCAGTCACAGTATTGTGCCTTTTTGTTCTTTACACACAAACATTCATCACAGTCACCTTGCACTATTTAGCTTGAACTCATGTAGCCACTTATTGCACCATTCCTGTAGCTTATCCATATCTTCTTGCAGGTGTTTGAAATCCACTTCCACTTCACGTCATCTGCAAACATCGACATGTGAAAATCGATCTCTTCTTGTAGGGTATTCACTAGTGGCTTCTGGTGACCTAAGGTTTACATTTATATTATATTTAAAAAATATCTTACCTTATTTATAGAGACATTGTCCCTTTTCTTTGGCATTTTTCTAACAGTGTTGAAATTTTGAATGTCTGCATTTAAAAGATGCTGTAAATCAGGGATACACAACCTTTACAGTCAACAATTTTTTTTGCCACATCGACCATCTCCCACCAAGGTAGACTGATACAAAAAAAAGGAAATATTCCCCATCATTCACTCAATAGTTCCCTTGCCAGAAGTGCATTGACATCGGAATTCAAATTATCCTGCAAACTGTAACATCCTCACCCATCTTTCAGAGCACAGGCACTATACTTCCCACCTCCAAGCTAACCTGTTTCCCCTGAATCCCTTCATAAATGTTACTTTGCTCACACTCCAATATGTCAAATCTCTAAAACCAATTGTCTCCACACATCTCGATCTAACAGTCTACAGTTTAAAACCTGTACATTCCCCCTCCAACCTGAGGCCTGGTCTCACACCGAGTTGCAGGGACGTTGACCCCCGAAACCCTCTCCAGGTATACTCCAGGTATAACTTTCTCTATGATGACCCCTACCTCTCCTTCCTTTCCCCCCAGATTTTTACACCCTCTCATTATTCTATTCTGCTTCGTCCTCTCTAAATGCTCAAACCACTGAATCTTTGCCCTCTGAATAATACCTTCTATAACTCCACATCACCTTCTAATTTCTATATTCCAATTCATTACATAACATTCACACCACAACTTGATCTTACATCTGACATCTCTACTATGTTCAGCCTCCTCCTTGTTGCAACTGTTGCAATGTTTCAAGCTCATATCTCACACCCATAGAAAAGACTAGTATACTCTGGTACACTCCCCTCATTAGATAAAATTCTTTCCAAAAATGTCTCAAGACCTCATCTACCTTTTTCCCTTCAATTACTCAATGGTTCCCTTCATCTTTCACAGACCCTTCTACTGGCATCTCCACTCCCAAATACTGTATCTAAATACACTCACATCTTCCATATTTTTTATTGCCTATTTTTTTTTTATATTTAGATCAACTTGTTCTTTAAGATGGCAAGGAATGACTTTTCTTACCAGAATCTATTATGCTGGTCTGTGATGAAGCCTATAATTCCAGGTGTTTTATTATCTTTGTCCTTGTGATTATCTCCATTTAACAAAGTAGTATATAATGAGGGATACATATCTAGCTCATGGGCTTCCAGCTATTCCCATTCTTTAAATATCTGTACTACACTGGTTTTTTGGGGTATTTAGTATCTTCCCTTTTCCTATGTGATACTGTAATTTTTTTAATAATGCCTGGCTCCAATTATAATTATAATCATGGGGGAGTGCTAAACCTGTATTATTATTATTATAATCAAAAAGAAGCGCTAAGCCACAAGGACTATACAGCGCTGCAGAGCAGGAAGGAAGCGAGGGCATCAGGTGGCAAAAGGGAGATGGATGAGTAATAGGTTACGGAT